GTCAATGATGAACTACTTACACCGTGTTGAAGACATTCTCTTCTTCATAGCTGCATCAAGGAATGCAGATCTTAGGTTGCATCTAGAGGCTGGTGAAGAACTGAGCAAACTCTTTTTTGCAATGGATCGGATCAAATCAAATACAAAAGACTGTGGCCCAGATACTTAGCAGATATGTATGCACTGAGGTCAAAGGATCCATACACATGGAATGAGCTGGCTAATGGAAATATATCAGTTTCAAAGAAAGGTATCACCTTTGTGTCCATTGGAGCTGATCATGCATGTGAACAACTGAACAGACTAATGAAGGTACACTCTGGTCTCGTTGGCATATCACGGAATGCAAATGCAAGACAACGTTTTTTTCTGGCAGCACCTGAGTTGTCACGCTTAGCAAATGAGTTCAAAAGTCAGTTTGATTTTGAAGCAGCTAAAGTCAAGGAGCATCATGACCTTGCACCAGGTGTTATCCAGCGGGACCATATTGCAGTTGACAAAATCAAGAATGCTATCCTGAGTCATGGGAATCCTTTTACTGTTGAAGGGGACAAGCTGCAGAATCTGATAACACATGCATATATTCAAGATCAGTATGTCTCTCAGATACTCAACATAGATGAGACCGGGCAAAAGTTGTATGAAGAATATGTGGCAGAAAGAATCAATGGAACAGTCAGCCTATGGGCGCCAGTGAAGAAGGAAAACAACCATCTCTACATGTCTGACAGCAAGAAACAAACAGTGAAACTTCGAGACAAGATTGTGGACCTGAAAGAAACAAAGGACTTGTATGGACGGCTGATGATTTTAGCCAGATCAAGCCGCGATATTGACCTGAAACATGCTATAGGGAACTATGAATTCACACTGACACCAAGAGCATTCTTTTCCCCGGATGGCATGTTGTTACAATGTACAGACAAGTCAAAACTCATCAGTTGCCTTGAGGAACTGGGTAAAGTCATATGATCAGTGATCCAGAAATGGCCCCTCAACTTGACCAAATTGACTCTGCAGTGTATAGGATTGCTGTAGTTGATGGTATGGTTCTTCTTCAGAAGATGACACAGTTACCTCCTGCAGTGGAGACAGTAAAGGATCTAAGTCAGTGCTTCAATAACCGACTGATGAGCCTTACAAGAGAATTTGATGAAGTCATTCTTGTGTTTGATACCTATAAACCTGATTCACTTAAATGGTCAACAAGGGAAAAAGCGTCATGGCAAGGATCCAGTCCAGTACCAAATAACTGATGAAACAAGAATCAAGCACATCACATTGAAGCGATTCTTATCTCACGACCAAACCAAGGATGACCTTGCAGAGTACCTAGCAACAAAGACCATGGAGTACAACAAGGATTCATCAAAGCTCTTCATCACCTCAGCATCGGGTAACACAAGAAGTAACAGCAGCATCAACTTTGAGTCAAACAACCATGAAGAGGCTGACACACTGATGATCTACCAAGCCATCTGTGCATCTCAGCTTAAACTTCGTGTGACTCTGAACTTGTTTTCTTCTCTCCAGATACTGACGCCCTCGTGCAAATCATAGCAAATTATGATCACCTGCCAGTAAAGACATCTATCTGCATGGCATCAGGTGAAGTACAAATACAGCATATATGGAAATCGCTTGGGGTTGAAAAGCGAAGGCTCTGCCAGCCTTCCATGCCTTTTCTGGAGCTGATAACACAGGTAGATTTTCTCGCATTGGGAAGACAACTTGGTTCAAGACGTTTCTAAGAGCCACCGAAGACACTGTTGAAGCTTTGCAGCTGCTGTGTTGTAGAGAAGATCTTGATGAAGAAACCTTTTCAACATTAGCTAGATTTGTATGTGCTGTGTATTGTCCAAAACAATCACCTTGAATGAAATTCCTGAACTCAGATGGTATCTCTTTTGCAAGCACATGGCTGAAAGTGATAGGCTCCCTCAACACTTGGTGCCTTGAAAACAGCACATTCACAGAGTTCAGATGCAGGCATGGGTATGGGCTCAAGTTCATGTTGCCAAACAAGTCTTCTTGGACCCAATGAGATACGGGTTTCATAGGGATAAGGATGCTCAGCTTAGACCAGTCACCACAGATGTTCTGCCAGCTCCCCAGGCTATTCTCGAGATGGTTCGATGCCAGTGCAAGACAGACTGTTCAACTCAGCGTGTACATGCAAATCAAAGGACTTACCATGTACTGAACTTTGTCAATGCAGTAATCAGTGTGAGAATGAAGAGTCTCAAGTGGAGGAAACAGTTCCTGATGATAACTTTGATGAACTGCTGTAAATATATCTTATGATGAGTGTGAAAGACCTCTCCTTTCGGTGACATTGTGGATATATACTTTCATCATTAATGACAACTTTTCGATTGGAGATATGATTACATGTCTGAAATGGAAATCACGATAATATTGATGACTTGCTGTAAATGGTGTTGTGTATTTTGTGCTTATACTGTCTGAAGATTGCAACATCTGAGGATAGACATTAAGCTATCAATTCTGTGACATTGTGGACATTCATCTTCAACCTGTTCCTACGCTTACACCACTGATCAACAAGTTCGTAGTTTCATTGATTTTTAACAGCTAGTGTGGTTATCATAACATTCATAATATTCTTGTTTTATACAGAGCAAAATAAGTATAACAAAATACAAGTGTTTGGGAGTTCAGTGTATAGATATATATCCTAAGTAGCTGATATGAAATATGTAATGTTTAGATTTTGTATATAATAACACATTTCCCCTTCATGTATACACATTAACAGTGTCTTTGATACTGGGGTGTATACAAGTAATCCTTAACAGCATAAAAGCTTCAAATATATACTGAAAATAGAACCAGAATTGTACTTAAAAGTGAAAAAAAAGGGTGGCACATTATTGAATGTGGCGGCCATTTTGAAATCCAAGATGGCCGCCAATGGGATGATGGGAAAAATTGGAAACATTGTTTTTTACATCAAGTGTAGTGAGTGGTTTAAGAAAATGTATACTGTTGCTAATCTCCAATTTCTTTGAACGAAAATACATAATACAATGGACTAAATGGTTTGTTAACATTTCTCGTGCTTCAGCCCCACTGTGCCACGCCCTTCCCATTCATTTTTTGTCGCGCCATTATTTCTTGGACTGTACTGAAATGTGTTTCAATTGGATATAATAGGATTATACTGCCCTAAGGTAAAGTCAAACCCTAAATATGAATCAGAAAGGGTCCCTAACCCTACCCCTCTCCCAACTCTAACCCTAAGGATCGGAAAGGGTGCCATACCCTAACCCTAAGCCCTAACCCTAAGAATTGGAAAGGGTGCTAACCCTTAACCCTAAGGATCGTAAAGGTTCTCTAACCCTATTCCCTAACCCTAAGGGTCGTAAAGGGTACCTAACCCTAACCCTAAGGATCGTAAAGTGTGCCATACCCTAACCCTAAACCCTAACCCTAAGGATCATAAAGGGTTGTTTGACTCTAAAGATGCAAGTGAAGGGAGACGGAGCAATTACCGCGATATAGGGAGACAGTGCTGGATACAGTGCGGTTGCGCTATAGCACGATAATTGCCCCGCAGCGAGCAACGAGGGCTGTGCCCGGTAATGTGCATTCTAGCCTAGAATTGAAATGGTAAACACACTTGTGAATTTACTGTCTTTACTGACAGTTCACTCAAAGCGATATGTAATGTTGTTTTCTTACCCCCTGAAAAAACATTTCACGAAAGTGGAACCCGTAGATAAGCCAACCCCCTTCTACAATCCAAATCTAAGGAATTTGCCTATGATGCTGCTGTTGCAGCATGGAAAGCTAAGAAAGAGAGCCGTTTATTTCACAAGTGTTGAGCCAAAGACCATTTAAGAAAAATTCATGTGAATAGTTAAGCATTGTTGTGACGGCATCAGCATTACAGTAAATACCTATCTTTAGTCCTGGATGCAACACTGTCATTCCATGGATCACTCACAGTCAGAATCACTGGATTGTTTAGTCCAGACTTGGTTGTTTACAGGCCGCCATCATATTGCGCTAATATTGCTGAGCTAAGAACAAAAACCTTTTTATCCCCCTCAACGCGTTTTGCGGGGGTATTAAAATGGACTCTGTCCGTCCGTCCATCCGTGCACATTTGTCTTTTCCGGAGCAGAACTCTAAAACCGTTCACTATTTCTTCACCAAACTTGGCATATAGATAGATCTGGTGGTGTACTGGTGCCTTTTGGTAGTTTTGGAATTCTGAATAAAATATTTTTGGCATTTCCATGGCAACAAGTTCGACTTAGCCTGAAATTGGTGGTAGTACTCTTTTCCGGAGCAGAACTCTAAAACCGTTCACTATTTCTTCACCAAACTTGGCACATAGATAGATCTGGTGGTGTACTGGTGCCTTTTGGTAGTTTTGGAATTCTGAATAAAATATTTTTGGCATTTCCATGGCAACAAGTTCGACTTAGCCTGAAATTGGTGGTAGTACTCTTTTCCGGAGCAGAACTCTAAAACCGTTCACTATTTCTTCACCAAACTTGGCACATAGATAGATCTGGTGGTGTACTGGTGCCTTTTGGTAGTTTTGGAATTCTGAATAAATTATTTTTGGCGTTTCCATGGCAACAAGTTTGACTTAGCCTGAAATTGGTGGTAGTACTCTTTTCCAGAGCTGAACTCTAAAACCGTTCACTATTTCTTCTCCAAACTTGGCACAAAGATAGATCTGGTGATGTACTGGTGCCTTTCGGTAGTTTTGGATTTCAGAATATAATATTTTGGGCATTTCAGTGGTAACAAGTTTGACATAGACTGAAATTGGTAATAGTGCTCCTTTCTGGAGCAGAACTTAAAAACCTTTCAATACTCTCCTTCCACTTTTCTATATACACACCTAAATATTTGACATAATCATAACTCGTAGACATAATCATGAAGAGTATTTTGCCATTGCAGGGGATATTGATGACTTTGTCTTCTTGTATAATTTTGTAACACTACTGCTTTTACAGAAATATCTACAACTGCCAGGTGACCCTAAAAGTCTGGATGAGATAACAAAAGACCTACACCGACAGTTCCCGCTGCATGAGATGTTTTCTAAACAAGGAGGATATGGGTAATGTTTTTTATATATTTTGCTCACTTGAACTTTAAGTGTCAAATTGCAAATGTCTGTCGGTCTGTTGACCAGTCTGTTATTTGTGTGCATAATTTCTTTACCTGACACAACAACATATTGTAATTTCTTTACCTGACACAACAACATATTGTAATTCTTTACCTGACACAACAACATATTGTAATTCTTTACTTGACACAACAACATATTGTAATTTCTTTACCTGACACAACAACATATTGTAATTTCTTTCTGTGCTTTGTCTAAATGACACAGAACTTAGGATGTGCCTTCTCTGGGAGGCATGTTATTGCCCTTGGTTACCAGTCAGAGATATCTGACCTTTCACTTTCCTTCTCACTGAAAGAGAATTACAATATTTACTCATCTGTTTGCTTTTGGTAGTTACATAGTTACCATCTGCCATGTAAAAACATTCATGATGAATGAAAGTTCACTGATACCTTCCAAGGAGGTTCATACAATCATATGATGCAAATTTTCAATTCACAATGGGCATTGTTGTATTTTGACTCATATGTTGAAGACAGAAAATCATTTCCTGACATAATCATTTCATCTATCCGTCGTGTTATTATTGCCCATACTGCTAATTTTAACTGCAATTTCCTCCTCTAATTACTGAGGATTTCCCCACTGGTAGGTACCCCTACATATTTCCCTCAGGCAATAGAACTTGATATTTCTGTTTGTTGCTCTAACTATGCAGTCAAGGTTTTGTATTGCTCTTCAAAATCGTAAACTTAAGAATTATTTTAATCCCTCTTGGAAGTGTAATTCTTAACTTACTCTGCAATATTTACTTACTGCACTTAAAGCTTACAACGCAAAACATGGCAGCCAGATGATGAAGAAATAAATTGGCCACTTCCAGGTCTGAAAGGAGTATTCCCCTCTGCATGTATTACCGGAAAGTGATGTCAGCCATCTTAAACTATGGCTTTTCATATGTTTAGTTCAACAGCTCTTTAATCATTTTAATCCTCCAGGAATTTGCTTTTGTTTTGTGTAATAAACTGTGGTCAGGTTCCCACGACTTAAGTTGCCTCATGTCATCATATCCCAAGTGTGCATGAGTACTTTATTGGTTTCAACCCATGAAAGTCCGGGTTAGAATGGACCTTCAGAAACCCATGCTTGTCATAAGAGGTGACTAATGGGATGGGGTGGTCAGTCTCGCTTGCTTGGTTGACACATGTCATCGGTTCACAATTGTGCAGTTTGATGCTCATGCTGTTCATCACTGGATTGTCTGATCAAGATTTGATAATTTACAGACCGCCGTCATATAGCTGGAATATTGTGGAGTTTAACAACAAACAAACTCAACTGTTTTTGCTCCTTTTCATGCAAAACTGTTTGAGTGATGGTCTTTTTTAGACATTAATGCATATTTCTGTATATGTCTCCCATGTGGGTTTGGCCTGGGTTCTGCTTCATTGCAGATTTGTGTACCGCATGCATTGTGTATGGGAAAGTGTTTGGATTGCACCGCAATTATGTGTGCTAGTTATCACCAAAAAGCTTCACCACTTATCTACTGACTCAAGAAAAGCCTTCGTCAGAAGATGTCATCTGCTGATGGCATGGACAAGTCACCTGCAGTTTTGACAGCCACTAGTTGTACTACAAGTGCTTTGGCACTTGTCACCTCTACTACTGCACCTGGGACAAGCAGTGAAATGCTTGATAATCCTGCACAATATCTGTTTCCATCCTATCCAGGTTAGATGCTTTAACTTTACCAGATGTCTCTGATGGCCCAGAGCCTCAGATGCATTCTCCCATCCAGCTGACACTGGGTGGTCTATACTTAACACTCTTTTGTCCGTTGGCCATCTCCAGTGCGTCATGCCAGCTCCTGTTGCATCATCATATCCTGTGGTCTCTACATCTTCAACAGGTGGGTACAAGGCATCTATCTTCCTTTAAGGCTTCATCCGCTTGATTTCTCCAATGTTGGGACTAAGGTGGATGAAGAAATCAAGTGCTTGTCTTTGCCTATCTTCCTTGAACCTTGAACTTAAGCAGATGCTACATCCCATATTGGCCTTAGATAAGGGTGCAGATGCTGTTTCCCAATTCTGAAGATATGCATCAATAATCAGAGGTGGCTGTCATCACCTTCCAGTTATGTGTGCGCTGACAGATACTCAATCAAGACCAGGAAGTGGCCAGTTCATCTCTTCATTTTGATAGCATTTGACAACTTAGAGTCATAAGCAATAAGTGTCTGTGGGACATATTTTGCTTGGTTTGGTGTTTGTGGTCACCCTGTTCACACTTCACGTCAAAGATAGTGGTGCAGCTTTTGACAGTGCTATTGGCTCCGGTGCAGTAATCTACCCTGTCACAGCGGATGGCAACAGTATTAAGAGATGTCATCACTAACTAGCTACTTAGCGTGACAGAAAGAGACATGCCAGAACATCATTTGTCATCACCTGATTGTCATTTACAGGCTGCTAATCAACCACTAAACAGCTAAATCATGATAAGGTGGTTACCTGATCAATTGTAGCCAGATGAACAGTTCCAGTAGAGTGATCTATCAACACATCTGTTAGCATCACCTGAATGGCATTTGTAGCCTCAGAAGTTGAAGCCTGATGAGGGGATGAAGTGTATTGAGCTGTTTGGACATCTGTTGTCGTCACCTCAGTGTTAACTGAAGCCTCATGAGTTGCAGCCTGATGAGAGAATTCAGTTCAGTGAGCTGTCATGACATCTTTTGGTATCACCTTGGCCTGATGTGCAGATGCAGTTCCTCAAGATTCCAGGATGTCTGTTTTCACCTGGGAGTTGGTTGCACTATGATAAGCAGTGGCACTCTCAGGAGTTGCCGGGACACTGTTTGTTGCTGCCTTGTCATCATTAGAAGATTGTGAAGCAGTTCTGGCCTGCCTCCTGACGGTCACTTGTTATATGAGCAGATCATTGCTTTTATTGGACCTCCACTAATGGAAGCCCATGCACCTCCATTACATTCACTTGGGGACACTACTACATGCAACACAAACTGCAACCCTGCCTTCAAGTATTGCATTGTGTTGTGTCAGGATGACAAACAGTTGAACTTGGATATTCATTTTGGATATTCTTAGTATTCTTATCCTTACACAAGAAATCCTGGGTATAGGTTACGTGCTTTGGACTGTTATTGATCAAGGACAGATTTGTCTGATAGCCTTTGTCAGTGGATGCCATGAATACGAGAAACATTTTACGTTCTGTGTCAAATGATCTATGTCAAGAAGGAAATTAGAAGTTGATGTCAATGTGAGTATGAGTGAGTTAAAATTTATGCCGCTGTGTTCAGAAAACAAGTGAACGATTGCCATTCAAGCCAGCAATTTATGCCTGAATGCATGATGCACTTGCATTTCAATTTCAATGTTGTGTTTGTGCGAACTCTTCAATTTCTTCAAACAAAACATTTCAAACCTCAATGTCAAACAAAACTTCATTGGGCAATACAGGCTATATGACCACGATTGATGTTTTCCTCAAACTTGACTTCCGGTGTATGTTTAAAAAACATAGATTCAAATGCTCCATTGATACTTAAATGTCATTTCCAATATTACAACGGTTTTTGGCCTTTCAGTAAACTATTTGATAATTGTTGCTTTCTTTTTAACTTTTGACTTTTCTGAATCACATTTATGTTTAAAGAGTACTCTTTATAGTCTTTTTACACTTTAATAAGCTTAATACCAGTCTCTATGATACTCATTATAATAGATGACGCTCTGGTTTTGTTTTGTTTTTTGTTTTTTTACTGCAATCACACAATCAAACTAACCTTTCAGAACATGACATGTTTAGTCAATTACAGTACTATAGTGTTAACACACTATTTCTTTTAGAAATGAAATGTGTTCAAAAAGATATTCCACTATTTTCCCCTCAAATGCCCCACTCGTGATTGCAGCAAACTTGGTGTAGACCCACTGCTGACAAAGTCAAAGACAAAGCAAGGGACCTTATTCTAAACGACAATGATGGTACCTTTGATTGAACAGCAGACATTCAGCAATCAAGATGTCTGTTCAGATCTGATATATACTAGGGAAGTTGACCATCAGCTTTTATGTATTCTTCATGGATCTAAAGGGATGATTCGAATCACAAAATTTAGCAAAACAATTTTGGTGTTTTAATGTAAAGCTGATGACATTGAAATAATAGCTTTGGCAAAGTATGATGCAATCTTGGATTCAGATAAAATAATCTTATGACAAGTATGGAGATATTTGAGATTTACAACATTCTTATATTATCTCAATACTTTGAAATAAGGATCGCTTTCCATTACCACAGATCAATAAGAAACTCTTGTCACACACATGATTGCCAGTTTATGGAATCTCAAGTCATACTTGAAGAGTGAGTGAGTTAAGGTTTATGCCGCTTTTAGCAATATTCCAGCAATATTGCAGTGGGGAACACCAGAAATGGGTTTCATATGGGGAATTGAACCTGGGCCATGAGGATGACAAGCAAACACCTTAACCACTAGGCTACCCCACCGCCCCTTGTACATGACGAGGAATATTTGAAGGTAGTATGTTCACCTAAGCATCAACCTTCCTACTTCTAGGATGAAGGAGTTAGCTTCAGGGAACAAGTACGCCATGGCCATTGTGGCCTACGTCATCTGGTTCTTGGCCTCATTGACCATGCGATGCCATCATTACTGGACTAATATGAGGATCTCAAGGCAGACACACCATGTTTCATTGGGACACCTTGATTCACAACCACTTGGATACGATTGTTCATGTGACCTTTTGACTAAACAGATATGGATGTCTTCTCACATCTTGAGAGGCTGGGATGAACCATACCAAAAGAGAGTTAATGTCTCATACATTGACAGCAGCCAAGGTGTTTTAGGCTAAACTCAGGAAGATCATAGAGGAGGTTTCAGGTCTCCATGATCAACTTATTGGCTAAGGCCAGTGTAGGAAAGATGTAGAAAATCTAGCCTGTCCACAGGACTGGCAGGTCAATTTTTTTACCAGTCCTGCCAAAATCTAGCCTGTCCTCCAAATATAAATAAAACACCTTCGGCAGTAAATATTCAAAAAGGTTATAATCATTATATATATGTCATTGGTTTGCTAAAATTGACCCGACATGAGGACGGACTAGATATTTTTTTAACCCGTCCTCCACAAAATTCACCCGTCTCGGACGTTGGGATGGGCTATCTTTCCTACACTGCTAAGGCCCACACTTTATCTCTCTCTTCTAAGAGGCCTTGATATTCTTTCTTCACAAATAGAGTCCCAAAAAGCCAGTTTGAAAGAATAAAATTCTAGTAAAGAAGGACTCCTTACAGGTTTTCCATTCAAATCTGACTTTTAGCGTCAAGGACAAGGCATGAGGAACACCCTGACCGGAAGTCATGCTGACCGGGGATTCTGCGTCAGCAACTTCTCATACCAATACATTCAGTCCTATGGACATGGCTTTACATGTTGTTGAGACTAGTTTTTCAACCCAGGATCCAAGATGAGGTCGTATTCTGTCATACATCTCAAACTGGAAGCAGATAACATCCATTGCCTGGATCCTCAACATAGTATCAAAGGATACAAGCTGTTCTTCCACCAATATTCTTCTCTTGTATTTCAACGCACAGCCTTCCTTGCCAACAGACAATATTGACAACAGAATGGTCATTTCATTTTGAAGTATTCCAATTTGTGCTTATCAATATCAATTCAGTACCAGATCCTATGGCACTTAAAGTAGACACTATATCCATGGATTGGACTGGCATGTTTGCCAACCCATTAACTTCATGGTCTCTTCCCGACAAGGTGATGAGGCAAATAGAGACTATCATCATTTTCATGCCTCCTCTATGACCATGCAAAGAATTTACTAAAGTTTACTACCTGTAATCATGACAGAACCAATCCAGCTTCCACCGAGACAAGATTTTGTTTTGTCAACCCAAGCCAGACATCTTTCATAACCACTTTCCATCTGACCATGGTAGCACACTTTGTATCTCTGAGTCAAGACAAAAAGCTCTGACATGGTAGCATTGAAGGGCCTTACACTGTTCTTCATTTGGATGTATTGTCTGTCACTGATCAGCCTTCTATGACAGCGTTTCTTATGAAAGATGTCAGAACCCAAAGGACTTTCTCCAAGAGGAATCTCTCAGTGGTTCTCTCAGCATTGTTAGCAGAACCTCTTGAACCTCTGGCATAAGCCACATTATTGCAAGCCTCGGTCAGTGGATCACCAAGATCAGCCACATTGTCCAATAATGCTCTATCCCAGTGTTACATAAGTTCACAGAAGATGGAGACCACAGCAGGAGACTGGTTATATCTTGCAAGGACATCACAAGGATACCATCTCTGTTCTTTTGTCTCTGGGTGATGAAGTTGGCAGGGTGATGAAAAAGTGAGGTTTCTCTGGCCTTTGCAAGGATTCTCCATATTGTTACCAATGATAATTATGGGTTCTTTTTCCCTGGATGATTCCTAACAGTTGCCTTGAAAAATTCTTGTGTTTGAAAATGACAGCCTTGAAGAAAAATCCATTTTCAAATTGCTTTGGTGTCAGTGTGAGCTCATGTTTTTTATGCATCTTTCTTAATTACCAGTGTTTCTCACCATCTGTTAGCATTAAAATGAATACTCACTCATTCTCCAAATGTAAAAGCATATCAGTATCATTGTCACATTGTTTGTTCATGTCATCACTGGCAGCAAAGTAAATAATCTATTTTGAAAACTAAGCTGGCTGTCATAAAAGCTCAATGTAATGAAAACATAGCCCTTGATTAACTGAAATGGAAGGCAATTAAGCCAGACGTGCACCTAACTTATGAACACACCTGGAGGAATTGACTGAATGTTTTACAATTGTAGATAATTAGAATTATGACTTCCCAGACTGAAAATATTGTCATTAAATAGGAAGTGAACTCATGCATGACACCCATTGATTCTTCATATTCACAAGTACCATATTTATGAGGAACCATTTTCATTATTTTGATGATTTCGACATCAACGACGACATTACCGAATCGGGTCGCCATGCTTTATGTGTCCCCATGCACAGATTTCCACAGGACCCGCGCGAGTTCGTAATATCTAGTTTTTTACTTGTGTTTAAAACGCTTCACGGAAGTTAAAGAATCACTACTTATTTGTAGTAAAATATGCATATGATTGATGACCATAAAAGATTTTCTATGACACAACTTGTAACATAACGATTTCTTCCTCGAAGTGAGGTTGTGGTCGGCAAACAATAATATTGTAAGTAGTATTATATTGACACCCACCTCGCTGCCACGAGAGAAATTGTTATGATATATTATATGTCATGCAAAACCTATTGTCCATCAATAAAATACATATTTTACTACCAGTAGAAAGTAGTTTTGATTTTAGAACTCGGTGAAAACAAACCTAAATACCATTTATCCTCAGACTGGCGGAAGTTCCGACAGGGTTATTTTTAAAAATAAAAAATCTGTTAGAATTAATGAGATTATAGTTTGTTTTCATCAAGTTAGAAAATCAAGACTACTTTCTACTCGTTTAAATATGTATTGGAATCATGACCAAACGGATTTTGCATGACACAACTCATAACATAACGATTTCTTCCACGGAAGCGCAGGTGGGGTCGGTCACAATACTGTAAATTTCTTGCTACATTCCCATGGTTAATACCCACTCACCAGTATGTAGATACTAGTCAATGTGCGTCTTTTATATTTGGTCTTATAATCCTAAGTAGTTTATTATCACACTTGTATGCATTTTAAAACTAAAAAAAAAGCAGACGATCTACTGATACTTATAGTGAATTTATAACAGAACTGTAATATCTAGACATTTTATAGTTTGCCAATGTGAATCATAATTCAAGCATTAATAATTCTAGTGCATGTTGTCTGTCTCATTACACTTCATGGCTTAAAACAATGATTCTGTTGAATGCTACTTGACAAATGAATAAAAACAAAATGCAAATATTAAAATTAAAACAGATTAAACAATATCAGGCCATTACCTTGTTCGAGGAATGTATCCATCAATATCCACAAAACTGTTCCAAAATGATGTGTCTTTTAACAGTTTAATATACCGAAAAGTGATAAATCTTTTCAGGTATTGGTGTATAGTCTCATTGGTCACCCAAGATAGCACACCTGGCAGAAACGTAATTGGCGAATGTCCGCCTTTCTTTAAAAACAGTAATTTAGTTAGCCAATAATGGGCAATCAATCAATGTATTGCCGGTTAATCCTTTGAAAGAAGTACGTTGTTATTACGCATGACAATCGCATTAATGCGACAGAGTGTATTCATATATAGTAAATCTACATACATAAACACTACCTTTGACAATCCCGCCATGTAAGATAAAAGTAATTAATCAATCAGCGGTTATCGGTTAATCCTTTGATCGATGTTTATAATGTTGAATATTTACTCCAGACACAAGAAATGCCAAATGGGAACCTTTGTCGGGTAATCTAAGTGTGTTACCACTAATTATACCTGTTATAAATTCATTAACTGACCATCAAGTGAATGATGACAAATAACATGTGTAGGTTTATACCACCTAACACGGGTTACAACAAGGGAGTATTAATTGCTGTATTGCATGTGAAAACGTATGGGCCAACACTGTTTTGAGAATACAAACAGATTTTTACATGACATCATCGAGGTAAAAAACACAGAAATGGGATCAATTTGGATAAGTCATTATACAAATAGGGCCTAACGACACCAATCGATTTTGACAGAATCGTCTATGAAAACAAGTTGTAACTCGGAAACTAGGCAAAGCAGGAGACAAAATTAAATGACAGTAGATTGTGAGAACATATAGCTTTCATTTTCCACAACAATTGTCACGATTTCAGGTTTATATAAGCCTGTAAACAAGATAATTTACCCCCTAAAATGTACATGAATTCTGCATCGGCCCTCAAAGCTATTCCTCATATGACGCCACAGAGGCCAGCATTCTGATTGGTTGAAATTTCGTCAGCTGGGTGAGAATTGGGCATTGTTGTCAAAAAGGTCGATTTAAGTCAATTAAAGGTCGAAATGAGTAGTTTTAATGACGGGGTTTCATTTATAACGATGCCAGTTAGTGATTTATGTATTTGTACCCCCTAGGGTTTATGTGACCTTTAACATAAATACCATGAGCTTACTCACCTACATTCATATATGCATTTATGCATTTATCTCTTGAAAAGATAAAAATCCTCCTGTGTCAAGGAAGTTAAAACTGTTCATGCTACATTTGTCTGCTGGAAAAGCACACATCTATCCAGTTGGCAAAGACAAAAATCATAAATATTGAGGTAATATATCATCTGAAATTCAATATCCATGTACATCCAGGTAAAACACAGCCACAGTTGGGAATGGGTCCAAGAGATTTTCTTCTTTGTGACAGTTGATTGCAACTATATTTCAGGATGTTTTAGTTACATTCTATACAGTTTGAACACCATGTTCCAAATTGATCTCAGCAACTGTATCTGCAAGATTGAAGCATGGCCCTGCAAAAACTGCCATTTTATGATCTGTGCTACAGATCCTCATTGATCTATATTTTTTCTTTTTTAGACAAGAGGATCTATTTCTTGTATTGAAGGCATACACAATCTACAATCCAGCTGAGGGATATTGCCAGGCCCATGCTCCAATAGCTGCAGTACTTCTGATGCACATGCCAGCAGAACAGGCCTTCTGGTGCCTGGTGGCCATATGTGAAAAATATCTTCCTGGATACTACAGTCCGGGCCTAGTGAGTTCATGGTCAATATCACATATTATACCTACAACCGAAATTTCATCAGAATTAAGAGCCCTTTGTAAGTTATAATGCCCTGAAGTTTTGTCTGAATTTGAGCACTGCTGCCACCAAACTTTGACCATAAAATCATGCTGTATTCGTCATGCTATGTACCTCTCATAATTAGCCTTGGGAAATGGTTTTGATGCATTGACCTGTCAACTCACCTTCAAAAATCTCTATATGGATGGGACGTTGCCATATTTGTACAAAAGATAATGAAATTTCCATACATATTGTAAAAGTGGGATGGGTAACTCAGGTACCAGGGTCAGGTTGTTCCAAAGTAGGACTGGAGTACCTGCAGGATTACCCAGGTGCACAGTTAGTCTCATGTTTCACTACACATTTTGCCTGTGTTCACATTTCCTTCTAAGCATGCATTCCTTGTGACTTTTGGAAGTGAGTAAAGATACAGCTTCAGTCAATTTCAGTGGATGCAAGATCAGATTATTTATGTGTATCTAAGTAATTTGTGCAAGGGTTTCAGTGAAACTGTTCATAGTTGGACATTTTGTACCCACAGCAGGTACAGCCAACTCAGTGTCTTTCTGTCCACCTACCTGCTTCTCAATGGGAACTGAAATATTACACTCTGATATAACCGTCATGATGTAAAAATCAGTGTCTGAAAATTTATTTATTTATCTTTTACAGAGTTATGGCCCTTGCTCCATGATTTTCAACTAAGTGCAAACTGCATGAAATGGGGAGAATTTGACCAAAAAAGATTCTGATGATATAAAACGACCCTTTTCTTGCCTAAGGTCTTCATGTTAGTGGTTAATGTACTCTGTACTATATGAACAAACAATTCTGATGTGCACTGTGACAGGGGATAGTCATTATCCTGTTTCCTTGTCATGAAATATTGTACCTGGCTTTAAATTGCTTTACAAAGCACTGTTAACATAAACCATGACAGCTATGTTTAAAATGTCAGTCATTTTTGTTTAATATGGCATGAAAATGGGTGCATGTAGGTACATGGTAGGTCTCTACATGTGTTTCTTTTTTGTGATATTTTCATATTTGACCTTCATCTTACCCTTTTACTTTGAGCATACTGAAAGCTGAAACTTCTCATGGCCATTATTCAGCCAATTTCTTTCTTAGTATAATTGGGGCGGTGGGGTAGTCTAGTGGTTAAAGCATTGGCTCGTCACACCGAAGACCCGGGTTCGAATCCCCACATGGGTACAATGTGTGAAGCCCATTTCTGGTGTCCCTCGCCGTGATGTTGCTGGAATATTGCTAAAAGCGGTGTAACACCAAACTCAGTCAGTCAGTCAGTCAGTCAGTCATAGTATAATTAAATTAATGTTAATGTGTGGTTGGCAGTGAGACTTTCTATAACTGTTGCCATGTTATGATTTGGTATTTCTTATGCCAAAATATGTGTCCTTGTTTTATTTAGGGCATTGTGTCTGCATAGAGTAGAGGTTTACTCAGAAGCTGCTAAAGTTGCATGAATCACTTGCTTGATAACAGTGTTAGAACCTACACTGGAACAAAGCTCCTATTGTAATGAATAAGTTGTCGCCTCTTGTGACAAGCATGGTTTGTTGAAGACCATTTCTAACCCGGATCTTGACGGTTGTTTATCAAAGAGATGCTTCTAAAGACTGTATGGTGTTTTATGAGTATTTATGGATACTGCTCAGCCTATTTTTGTAAATTGTGCTGTAATAATCCATGACTATATCAAAATGGATATTTGTCTTGTGTAGACATTTCTGAAACTGCTAGAATGCAGAGGCTGAATCTTGAGTAAACATTTGGAAAAAATATATGGCGTAAGAAAACTAATTTTTCTGAGAACTTACATGGGACACAGTGTTGAAGTATAGATGAATTCCAACAATGTTCTACAATAGTATATTCATTCTAGCAGAATTAGAAATATTGATTATGGTTGGTCTCTGGTTTCATAATCCTTTATACTTTGGATCTCTTAAAATTCTTTGATTCCCATTTTGGGAAATCATATGCATGTAGTAATAATGCTGTTTAAAAACTTGTGTATGACTAGTGATTGTTTGTACATCAAAAGTAGGTCACAGTGACCTACTATCAATGAGTAGCATACACAATATCTATTTTTTAAACCCTTTTTGATGTCTCAAGGATGAAAAATAATAGTTAGTGACCTATGTGTAAGTTGAAGGCCATTATAGTAACTAATGTTTGCCATTTTCACTTGATATGTGTTGTGGCACAATGTGTAATTCATTGTTAGTCTCGTGGAGTACTTGGACACCATATTCAGCAGCATGACTTTCATGAGTTTTAAGGCTTTGGTCCTTCACTACTCTGAAGCACATCTATGACAGGTAGCTGTGAAGTTGATAAACTGCAATGGTGGAGTTTAGCATCAGTCCTTCAAAGGTCCACACCATTCTGGTTGTGTTTTGTTTTAAAAGTTCAGTGTTTCTGTTGCCTCATCAGATAAACTTAATCTTGACCACTGGTGGTCAGACATTTTGGGAGGTGGCCCACCAGTAGGATGAATTTAGAATCACCTCGCTAGCTGATGGAACAGACATCTGATGTTTCCACTGCTTTAACTGCTGTTGAGTGTCTGGCTGATGGTGGTGAACACAAGATTCTTCCATGGTTTAAAAATGAGAGATGCCGACTGTATTGCCTCCCTGATCTTGAATCAAGTCTATCTCTTCTTCTCTCAAGTTTCTGCTGCTTACCCCTAACATTGACAAAGAAGGGAGCATCATGCTATAATGTTGGGCACCACCCTGCCTACATGGATGAGTGGAGTTAGCCCTTTCAGTTAAGAGTTGCTTGATGACAGCATGGTAGCCAACTTTGTCCATTATCAGGAAGAAAGAATACCTAGTCACTTGAATGCCTGGTTGTGTATTTGGTTCAGCTTGTAAGTGTGGGAAGTACTGATAAATGCAAATTATTTGGGTGTACTAATTATACTTCTCAGTTAGACTTGGAACAATGGAGCCAGCCCTCCAGCTGATTTGATTTACGTCTTCATAACCATTTCCCCCTGGATTGTTCCATGCCCTCTGCTGTCATATGACAATGGTATTATGAACGGTTTTGATATTTCAGAATATTTTTGTTTTTATCATGAGTTCCATTAAAGATAATAAAAGTTAAAATGATGTTAAAATATGTTTTGTGAAGTAATTCCTTTGGAGTTTTATCTTCGGTAAAATGACTCAAACAGTGAATAAAATCCAGTCTCTCCTGGCCTATCATATAGATTAGATCTGTGCCATGTATACCATGTAGTAAAATCAGTCATTTCTTTTATATTATTAATTTCTGAATCTCTAATAAGGTGTTTGCTGCATCATCATCAAACTTAATTGTAAAACAGAAGGCAGAAGTACTCCCAATGTTTTGTATACATTTGTATAAATGATAAATATAATTGGTGAAAGAAAATTAGCAGATTACTGTCATTACTACTGTGGAGGAATCCCATTTACCAAAATTACCTCTGGTCTGTTGAAAAAAGAATTTATTCAATAAATAATGTCTAGTAATTTTATAGTCGTCGTTAATATAGTTGCAAGAGGGACAGATGCAAATTGACCTGCAAGGCCCTTGACCTGGTCTGTTGGCAAACTGAAGTGGGTGTAATATGTGTCCAAGCTTGTCAAGTAACAGTTTTTTATTCTGCCATCAAAGAAGGATTGAATTATTGTAAGCATAAATTTTGAAACTTGTTTTAAGAATTCAACACAGCTGTTCTCAGCACCAGATACATTTTCAGAGCCACAGACTTTGTGAACATTGAGTTGGCTAAAAGTACTAGTTAAGCAGTGAGGCACATCAGTACCACATCAGTACCACATCAGTACCACATCACCTTTTGGTTTGTGCCTATAACCAGTGAGAAGGTTATTGTCACTCAACTGTTTCTCAACTTAAACTTCACATCTAATAGTTTCATCATTATTTATTATATGGTTTCTGGTTTCATGTGTTGTAATTTTCTGAACATATATAACTTTTTCATAGTCACTAATGCAAAACACCATTTTATATTTGTAGTGATCTCATTGTTTTAACAATGGGTTTCTTGATTTCAATTTTTTTTTGCATAAGATGGATCAAATTGTGGTTAGATGTACAAAGTTTGCATGCATATTTCATATGTTTTTTTAATTTTTTGGACATAGCACATATCGGTTGTTATATTTCATCTGGAATGACAGTACACATATTGTTATATGGTAGGTAACACATTGTGCTGATTACATTTGTCAATGTAAGCATCACGAGGGATTCACACAACTGAGATGAATATTCACAATGCTTAGAACTCAATCATACATTCGTTTCCACTTCAGGAGGCAATCCAGCTAGATGGTGATGTATTGTTTGGGCTTTTAAAGAAGACATCTCCTGCTGTTTATAAGCATCTTGTGAGTATAAACCTTTGGAATTCATTTGGGGTAAATTTGTTTGTAAATACAAACCCAGTTTGGTAAATATTCAGTTTGTATGTTCCTATACTTACACCTCACTCCACAAAAGTTCATACAAAATACTTTTCTTTTACTTTTGAAGGTAATATACATAAACCTATGGAAGGTTTACTGAAAGAGTGAGTGAGCTGGGTTTTACCCCCACTTTTAGCAATCTTCCAGCTATATGTAGACAAAACTTTGTTCATTTTCAGCTTGTGTTTGATACATATGGGGGCGGTGGGGTAGCTTAGTGGTTAGTGGTTAAAGACCCGGGTTCGATTTCCTACATGGGTACAATGTGTGATGCCCATTTCTGGTGTCCCCTGCCATGATATTGCTGGGATATTGTTAAAAGCGGCGTAAAACCAAACTCACTCGTCACTAGATACATATGATAATAATGTACATCAAAGACTGTTGATTTTTATGACCGGCGAGTGTCGATCATAATTTCACGTACCTGCCTCCACCCCGGCATGCGACAAAAGAGTGACAGTACTGCTTTGTGTACATGCGACTAACTTGGGATTCCTTGGAACATTGTTCTCATCATTTTGGACTGGATTGTGGCCAAGCTTTTCAAAATGTATGAACATAGCAGTGACAGCCTTGTGGGGAAGGTGGCAGAGAGCGGAATTCTCGTGGTTCAATTTTGACATTTTGAACGATGCAACAGGACATGATGGCGTATGAGTGGCCTAAATTTTGTGTTTCGTCTGACCATTATCTTGCGAATTTCTCATTCTAAACGGAAACAAATATACCATTTACCAGGTAGGTAAGTGTTTACGAACGTTTTGCCGCACAAATAGGGATAGATAGGGATGTATTTTTAATTTTTTATAAGGTTTTCTGATTTATATGTTAGATATTGTTTGTTTATGTTTAGGGTTGTGTATTGTAATTGAGTTTGAATATTTTTATAATAGAAGGTAATAATTATGATAGTGAGGTTCCCTAATAATTGTGGAGGAGAAATTGTATAATTGTATTTTTCGAGTTTTAATAAATGTTTCATCAGCATTTCCATCACATCGATCTGTTGTGTTGATATTAGTCATGTTGGTGGCCAAGCTGAAGTAGTGCGGCAGTGTTGTATACGTGCGCAGTGAAGCGCCTTGAAATCAGACGCATTTTCAATCCAAATTGATACCGTCTGATTTTATTGATTGACCAATCAAATTCGGGCATTTCACGTATCCATGGTAGAATACACAGTTGTCAGTTGTTTGGTCAGAAAATACAGGGTAGCCAATAAAGTGAAGGATCGCTCACGCTCTGGTTGACCAGGATGATGTCAGATCGTTAAGACAGCCCAGGCACTATTGAGGCTCAGATGAGTCTTGGTTTCTTCTCAGATGTGAGTGAGTGAGTATGGTTTTACGCCGCTTTTAGCAATATCACGGCAGGGGACACCAGAAATGGGCTTCACACATTGTGCCCATGTGGGGATTCGAACCCGGGTCTTTGGCGTGACGAGCGGACGCTTTAACCACTAGGCTACCCCACTGCCCCTTTCTCAGATGTGCTGATGGACATTCACGTGTATACATGTCGGAACAAACATTACGCCGATAACTGTGTACAGCAGGTCGATAGATTTGGTGGTGGAAGTGTCATGGTGTGGGCAGGGATCCATCATAGTGGCCGGACAGCTCTTGTGCACGTGGTAGGTGCATTGAATGGGGTTCACCATAGAGACGAGATTTTGCAACGTCACTCCATTCCCTTCATCAACGTCAATGGTGGATCTTTCCAGCATGACATTGCTCGACCTCACGTTGCACGTTTCCCAGGACTTCCTCCAGCAAAACAACGTTCAGGTTTTACCATGGCCTTCTCGATCACCCGATTTGTCCCCCATTGAACATGTATGGGATAATCTTGATCGACTCTTTACGCCAGCGTAATCTGCCACCTCAGACACTACAAGAACTGCATGCAGCACTTCAGCAAGAGTATCAAGACATTCCTCAAGACAGCATTCAGCATCTCCTTTGTTCTGTGGGCTGCTGCTGCCAAGCTGTTATCGATGCTGATGGAAATCACACCAGATACTGACATTTTACTCTGACTAAGCGGCTTTAAAAGCCCTCTGTGGTTTTACCAAACATTTCTGGATAATCAGGGTTTGGAAATTTGTAAAGTGATGATTTTACTATAATTGAGCAATGATGTCATGTTTGAATCAGTTATATGCATGCACTCAGTAAATAAACTCCAAAACAGCATGTCAAGTTTCCTTTTTTTTAAGAGTATATATTAACACAGACAATACAGTAGAATATATATAGACACATACAGTTCAGTTACCTTTAGTAACGGGTTGCAGGTAACAATAAATCCTCCAACATCTTGTAGCTGTCATCGTGTGTTTTTATTGTGAAGTAAGTTACTGGAAGTAATATATTTCTCTCTCATGACTTGTAACAAGCAGAAACATTTGTGTACTCATAAATCAGTTACGTATCAGATTCTTGTATGTGTTTGTTGTCGTGGGAGTAAGTGTGGACCTGGTGTTATGAGCAAACAATGAACTGATGTTTAATGGCAGGGGTCACTGTGCTATACGTCTTCAATAATGGTTCCTTGACTTTTCAACTGCAGGAATAATAAGGCGATATGTAGATCTAAGCTGGACCAAACTTTCCAAAAAATAAGTTACTGAATGGAAAGTATCCAGAGTATGAAGAAACAATCTTCTCTGAAATAGTTATTCTCAGCAGGGGCAAGCAATAAATCAACTGAGGAAGCACCTTAGTCTCACGTCTGCCAATAATGTTGGTGCCTAATAAATCCAGTTGTGATAAGCGTAAACAAAACTCCAGTGATGGAATCAGTCAAATAAATATTCATATAATTGAGATTTGATATGGGTGCTACAAAATTGAAACAGAATCATTCACCATTTATCACTAATTTATCATTATCACTTATTTTGAAAATGGCTTAACAAGTATTTATGTTATGTTTTAACAACCAGTGACATTATTTTATAGTGCAACCGAAATTTTGATGGTGCAGCCAAACTTATAAGGCAGGTAGCACCCAGTGCAGGTACTGAAAGAAAACAACAAAATTGCACACTGTCTAAATTTGTTTCTATTCATCATCAGTAATAGATGGTGGATATGCATTGTGTGAATAGAATAAGTCTTTGAGATTTAAATATTATTAGAAATTCTTTAAGCTGAAAGTAAAACTTATGGATTGTATACACATTTATCATTGTTATTTCCATTATATTTTTCAGAAAAAGCAACGAGTTGAGCCTATAATGTATATGACTGAGTGGTTCATGTGTGTATTTACTCGAAACCTACCTTGGGCGTGTGTTCTGCGGATATGGGACATGTTCCTGTGTGAAGGTTTGCAAACCCATTTTTTACCAAAATCCTTCTGGTGCACTTGGTAGTGTTTCATCATTCTGCAATGTATTCTCTCTCACTCACTCACTCACTCACTCACTCCACCATCGCTGCTGCCACTGTCAAGCATTTATACGTCACTCATCCACCATGATAATATCTCACATTAACATAAACGGCCCAGACAACTGAATTCTCTGTCCACATATTAGCCAACACCTGAGTGCATACACAATCACCATAATGAAACAGTATACAGCAGGTGTCTGTTTTAATTCCTTGTAATTCCCGTTTCTTGTGGACTTGTTTCTATGCCACATCTGCTTGCGTTGTTGTTACTGTCTGTGAGGGCGACGTAGACAACAGTCTGTCCCACTGAGGCTGACAAGCCACAAATCAAGAGACTGCATATACCAGATTTGGCAAAACAGTGTGATTGTCACAATGCACTGGTACATGATATAAGCCAAATTTGATATCCACTGAAACAAAATAGTCTCCATGTTTGATTATATTTGCCATTCTGATATCTTCTTTTCTATAAGACCGCTTCCGTGGTATAGTGGCTAGAGCGTCCGCCCAGAGAGCAGAAGGTCGCGGGTTCGATCCCCGACCGCGTCATACCAAAAGACGTTAAAATATGGTACTTGTTGGTCCCTGCCTGGTGCTCGGCATTAATGGGTACAACAAGGACTGGTCGGCTCGGAGTCAGTATAATGTGTCTGAGTGGGGTATTCATGATTCACTGTGGCATGGAATCTCAGTGAGCTAGCACTATAAAACCAGCTTAAGTCTGGGCTAGTACAAGCAGCCGCACATACACATACACACACATGCACGTCGTCATATGAGCGAAATATTCTCAAGCACGACGTTAAACCCACTTTCACCTTACCTCACCTTCTTTCTATAACATATTGTCATACAAGCTATGGAGGTCTTCATAGCTTAACACTTTTTTTTGATAGGCATTTAGAAGTTGGACGAACATGAATACATGACACGTTTTATGGATAACTTCTTTTTCATTCTTTACACAACGTGTATATATTTATATTAAAACATGTATACACAATGCAAGGAGGGAGAATGTACATAGTTATCTTTGTGCATGAATCCAATCTGATTGGCTTCCTAATTCTATTTTTATCTTTGTACATTCTCCCTCCTTGCATTGTGTAAACATGTCTATATACCTGATGAAGGAGCAAGAATTAGCTCTGAAACATTGTGTAAAGAATAAGAAAGAAGTTTTTATACATAAAACGTGTCACGATATGAACACTTTTTATCTGCCTGAAAAGTGCAGATTTATGGAAAGTTGAATATTTCTGGAACATTGTTAGATGGCATTCTCACACAAATATGCAAGTTTCAACCTAACACATCTGAGATGCACATTCAGGCCTCTATGCATTTACCATGCAGACCCATGCTAATCCAGGGGAGATACCTCTCACAGCACATGCAAATACATTGCAAGATGTATCTTATAGTGGTGTTACGATTAATTGAAATAATCGAAGATTGGTAGCAGTGACCAAACGACCAAGCAATCGATCACATTTTCTCATAATCGAACATAAACGATTTTGGAACTATTGTCAGGGCCTGAAAACATGTTTATTTCTTAGAAAACTCACTCCACTAACTGAAAAGTCATGACTGAATATTGCTCTAAGACTCCAGGAAGTTTATGTTCATGATATATTAGTCATCACTTTAAAGTAGCAAGTTGCATTATGTTATACTTTTCTGCAGTAACAACCTGGATAGGAAAATCTGAAAATGACGCTAACCAATTTTTTTCGATGATTGTTCGCTGGTAATGAAGCAATCATCAATTGTGAGATTTCAACCAATTTTTTTATCATCGATGATTGATAAAATATTCTCTTGATCCTCGTTGGTAATGAATCTTGCAATCATCAATTGTGAGGTCTGCTCACAAATATACACAGAGCTAAGAGACCCCTGGCGTTTATTGTGCCATGATAGGATTAGATCTCATCACTACACGCAGACTCCACCATCATGTTACCTCACATCATCTGCCTAGATCCTTTGTCTTCCTTTTCCATGTGTTATTAGTAGTAAGTAGGTTAAGTCGACCTTGTCTATTACTGCTTTTCAGGCATTGATGTATCAACAATTACTGCAGGTTTCTGGTTACTGTTGATGTAATAATGCCTTTGTCTTGATGCTAGGTGTAAAGGTGATGTTCCGCATTGCCCTGGTCCTCATCAAAATGACTTTAAGTGGCGGTGACAAACTGGCTGAATGTACATCCTTCTATGAAACTTTAGAAAAACTCAGAAACATTCCAATGGATGCATTTGATGAAGAAACACTGGCTAGAGAGGTAAGACTTTCAATTGGTGTAAATGTTGATATCTTTAGTTGGTTGGTTGTTGTTTTAAGCAGCACTCAGCAATATTCCAGCTATATGGTGGCAGTCTGGAAATAATCAAGTCTGCACCAGACAATCCAGTCATCAACAGCATGAGCATCAATCTATACAATTGGAATACGATGCTATTTGTCAACCAAGTCAGCGAGCCTGACCACCCGATCCTGTTAGTCACCTCTTACGACAAGCATGGGTTGCTAAAGACCAATTCTAACCCGGATCTTCACAGGTTGTTTTGCTTTAGAGTACAGATTTTAGTGTTTAATGTAGTTTGCATATCCATGGGAATTACAGGCCTTAAAAGTTCTTGCTATTTAAGGTTTTGACTTGAAAAGGCATTTAGTGTAGAGCTATGATATTTGTACAAATGACATCACTTGATTGACTTTGGAACCCACAAGTGATCAGCTTGACTTTCAGATGTTAATACTGGGGCTATCAAATCTAAGGGACTGGTCATGATTTATTTCTAGGGAGGTGATGATGATTTTTATGGACAAGCCTGTACAATGTGAATTTCACCCCCACCCCACCCCACCCCTAAAATTTATGACCCCTCCCCAGAACAAAATGTGTCTCTCCTCCTCCTCTCTCCACCTCAGAAGTGAAGCAACCGTTGATGAAGGTCAGTCACTGTTATGTTTTATTAAGGTGCCAGGAAATATAAATATACTAGCCACATAAAGAAACTGTGCATTGTCAAAATATTATCCCAATTGATAAGTACGATAACAATGTCAAAGGTACATATAAACTTTAATGGAGGGATCATGAGACCATAACGAGTCGGGAGAATTTCAATTGAAAAGTCAATCACAATGACGTCACGAGTCCACAAGCGGGACAGGGGTCAAACGACCATGTCACAAGCTCAATAACGGGTATGTCCACCATCGGCATTGAGAACAGCAGTGCATCGACGACGCATAGAGCCTATCAAACGTGCAAGGAAGGCTTGTGTGATGTCACGCCAGATTCTCTCAAGTTCTGTTGCAAGGTCAAGGGCGATATCTGGCGGATGAGGAAGACGGCGTAGAGCGTCCGATCCATGTCGTCCCAAACATGCTCTATCGGGGAGAGATCCGGTGAATTTGCAGGCCAAGGCAGTAAGTCAACGTTGTGGTATTGCAAGAAATCCATAGCAACCCTTGCCGTATGTGGGCGGGCATTGTCCTGTTGGAATGTTAACCCAGGGCCATGGCGTTGCAGAAAGGAATTGCCACAGGTCGAAGAATCTGATCCCTGTAGCCCACACCAGTTAAGTTGCCCTGAACAATCACCAAAGGAGTTCTTTGGCATGCTGTTATTCCACCCCAAAGCATCACGGAACCACCACCAAAGCGATTCCTCTCCAAGACACAGGCCTGTGCATAACGTTCTCCCACGCATCTATAGGCACGTTGACGTCCATCACTATGGGAAATGTTAAACCTGGACTCATCTGTAAAAACAACATTTCTCCTCCAAAACAAGGGTCTGCGGACATGATTTCGGCACCACATTTGGCGAGCTTGTCGATGGCGTTGTGTCAGGATAGGCCGTATGGCGGGGCGTCATGGTCTGATCCCGTGATGGCGTAAACGTTGTCGAACTGTGTTGGGGTGGATCTGGCGAAGTCCTGGGATGGTTCGGGCAGTCATCACTGCAGTCTGAAACCTGTGGCGAAGATGGGTCACCCTTATCCATATGTCCTGTCTTGGCGTTGTTACGTGGGCGTCCAGAGCGTGGCCGATCGATGGCGTCATTTGTGTTCTGGTAGCGTCTCACCAGTGCAGAAATGGTGTTCGGTGGCAGTGGAAATATGCAGCCACTTGTCGTTGAGACATTCCCCCATGGACCATCCCAATGGCCTCATGACGTTGTGCAGACGTGAGCCTTGGCATGCTATGCGCTTCAATAGCCGTTTAATTTTTGGAACGATCGCAAGGGCAGGGGTTGAGCTTTCCAATGTGACAGTATTGTGTGGCATTCATTTGCTCTGTTTCTCTTTCCCGGAATGCACGTGCAACAACGTATTGCACGTCTCAAGGACGAACCCACTGACGTCACGGAACGTGGCACGTGCATGCATGTTGGATACATGTCACTAATCTCTGAGTTTAAATCCTTATGTGTCTACACAGGTTTGATAAATTTAGATTTTAAATTTTTGTATGCACAGTTTCTTTATGTGCCTAGTATACATTGATTTGGGGTCATTGTGAATACATAAGAAAGGGCAATGGTTGGTAGCATACATCAAACTCAAAATTTTCTTAAATATTTGGGTGGTTGTATTTGGGTAAAAGAAAGATTAATCTCTGAATATCCAATGTAGCATCAAGTTTTCAACTTGATGGAGTCACAATATTTGCACATAGGGGAAAACCTGTATGGAACAAAGGGAAAGTCTGTCTAAACTAACATGGTTCAAAGTGATGCCAGTTTAGAGTTCACCAGGGTCCACTGTACTTCACTGGTCGTCAGATCAGTGAGTTGGTTGATTGCCATCATATAGCTGGTACATTGCAAACTGCTGCTTAAAACAAGAATCATAGAAATAGGCTTTGATAATGTAATAAAAACATTAAAGGAAGATGTTCATTTGAGTGCTTGCAGGTGCTTTCTTGGTTAAAGGTGCTGATTTATAACAAGAAGCTATGGCAATACTTGACCATAGGTTTTCCCTGATAGGTATCACTCAATTTAAAATATGGAAGAAATTTGTTTTCAGAATATTGTTTATAAATGTATTTAATTTAAATTCTGTTAGATCTTTCTTAAGAAAGATTTATCGTGAATTGAATACGTTTGGAATGTACTGAGATTACTAAGACTTTCTTTAAAGAAAGGGTATTTTCCTCTTCTTTTCTTGTAATACGTTCTCATGTTGTGTTTTCCAGTCACTTAAACTGAATATTAACGAGAGTGATATGGAGAAGGAACATCAACGACAGATAGGGAAACGACGCAAAGAGAAAGAGAAAGGTTCCAGGTCCAGCAAGAAAAACAAGACATAGCCATCATTCCACATTATTGTTAATTCCATGTATTTCTGGGAACAAATCAAAAGCTGTGTATTTGGATCTACTTCACCACTCCATCGATATACATGCCCAAAGTTGGTTCTCAGGCACCATAACTAAATGTTTGTTGCCTAGGTAATGACAGATGCATGTCCACACATATGCTTGGCATTATTAAGATTTCTGTCAGAAGAGCACAATACGGACCTCAGTGGGGGTAGTCTTGCTGTGAGTTGTAGAATCATCACCCACTGACACTTGCTTACAGTCAGTGCTTATAGAGGATTGGTGTATTGACAACAAGCAAGGAGAGAGGAAACATATTAGATCCTGCAAGATGCAAGATACTAAGTGTTTCATATGATATTGGCCAGTGCTTTACCTCATGTATGCTGACATTCCATGTGAACAGGTTGTGACAAACGGGCTGATACACCAAATGAAACAGGATCCAAGTTTTGTTCGTTTTCCAAGACTTACTTCAAAGACATTTCTAGTTCTCTTTTTCAGGTCTTGGTATCTGCCTTTTAATTCTCTACAGAGAAATCTTTCAGACAGGGTATTTTATCTTGCTCAGACTGTGAAGTTGGGCTTGTGATCAATGGTTCTAGAAGTTTCATATGACTAAAGATTGTACTTTTAGCTCCACTGATTGAAAGTCATTGAGCTTATATGTTATGGATATCCAGCATTGGTACTATCAGCTTAAACATGTTCACAATGAAACATGGGCGACTGAAGCTTAAACATGGTATGCTTGTTATCACTACTACTGACAACTGAATCTGTTCATCTGTTCAGGAGGTTTGGTTCTGATTGCCAGTTAAGGAGTATGACAGCCAAAGTAACTATTTTAATAAACCTCTCCAAAACCTAATGAAGATATTAGCTCTCATATACTGTTTATCCCAATCTTTGACTGGACCTTCTATAAATTGTAAATACAAATAAGTTGTGTATTATTTATTGATTATTTATTGCTAATTTGCTATTAGTTTCTTACTCTTTCTTTTGCTTTATACTATTAGTGGGAAGTGTAGAAAGGTATCTGTCAGGGTGAACTATGATGTTTGACAAAATATGACTAAGTCATGGTCAGTGGTATTCTAGAATGCTGGTGTGAGAACTGTTCAGACATCTGTTATCCAGTTGAAAACATGGCCTCCAGATTTGACCCATGTAGGATATGTAGCCATGTAGTCAGGCTGTAGTATGTTGTTCAGTGTGGTTGTTGCCATTTCGTAATATGTTAATCTGTTGAATCCTGTATGTTATCAACAAATGTCATTTTAAAAACATTCACAGCCAAGACAATGCTAGAATTTAATGTTGTTGACAAATTGTATCTCTTTAAACAAGCAATATGACTGAATGATTAGTTTTATAACGTATATTTGGTATTGCTGGAGCAGATAGGATACACTCTGCTTTTTGTAAGAGTACACAATATTTACATGTTGCAGCACAGTGTTTCAAATCATTGACCACTATTTTGATTGGTCATTGTTTTCTATGTTGTTTTGGTAAATATTATATTGCAGTCTTTCTTGACTCTCGACTGGGGGTGTGCCTTTACATGATGCAACTACTTGTTGTAAAACAGGGTTCAAACATGTTCACTGATGGCTCATTCCCACCCCGTGGATTTCCTAAACAATTTGACATTGTAAAAGGCTGTCACATTCCACAATCTACAGAGTTGATGCAGCTTGTGAAACATCATGTCTGAAACTAAAAGATAACTGGAATGTAGTGCTATAATATTGCAAGGACAAATGATGTCAAACAGTTTTGTATATTTATATGGTTGCAGATTGATGTTTTTCATGAAGATTGATAATAATGAATAAATTCCCCATCACTGTGTATACAAGAATGTATAGGAATTTGATCAGTAGTTTCAACTCAGATATTAAATTCCTTCTTTTGCTTGAGCATTATTTGGTAGGGCTAATAGCTTCCGCCTGTCCAAGCAGCATTAAACCAAACTCACTCACACCTTCAGTCAGCATGGTGAGGTGTTTTGTGTTGTTTTTTATTTTGACAAGGCCGACAAGAAAAGTCATTGTTTACAAACATTTCCTTTTGTCATTGACATTGATGTAAATGCACTCACTAATGAGATAATGTCAGCAGTTTGTGTCCAGTAGTCAGAATGAATGTATCACCCAGTATGTCAGTCAGGGTACACCTTGCAAACAGAACCCAGCTTAGCAATGTGACTGCCCTCAGCAGCCTACCTTTCAACCGAAACATTTCTTGTATTATTGTCTGTGGCACATTTCCTTCCATTTCAAAGTTGTGCAGCATTGGTCATGCGTTTTACAAACAAGAAACAATGCCATAAACTGTTCATACTTTGACAGATTTACACAGATACAGCATACTAAAAAATATTGATACTTGATGGGAATGTTTTCTACCATATGAGTTACAGTTTGATGAAAGACGTCAAATTTGAATTTTTGTTTGATGGAAAATTGCATGTCATTAGAAACATTAAGCTCCTCAAAAGTCATCCATCGCCCAGTGTTAAACTTTGCTGCTAACTTAGTTCATATTTATCAATTTGATATTTATACAAATATAGCTGAATAAAAAAAGCTGACATCAAATTTTGATAGGACGTATTCTCGTTGTCAATTTAAGTGTTGACATACCAGGTGAGCTATAATGAAGTCATTTTATCTGTGACCACTATCGGGATCAGATTTGTGAAGTACATCAAAATTAAAAATTATCATTTTTCCTTATCCTGACTCATGCTCTTTTGCTTGTCTTCTTCTTCTTGCGAACATAGTGGAAACACTTGTATCTCCTTAATTGAAGCTCCCTTCAATGTAAAATCACTAATTAGTACTCACCACGAGTTGCTCCCCTTTAATCCCTTTGGCGGGAAAGGTGTCGCCACCCTACACCTCGTGCTTCACTCTCTCCTTCTTCGCCCAGTGAGCAGGATGTGAGAGCGCCTGTGTCTCCTTACACAACATATCCTTTGATATTTCTTAGTTTATTACCTCTTATAGTTTACTATAGAGGTATAACTAGTATCCTTCAGTAATTTGTATTGATTATTTATCGTATTTCTACTGTTTATTCCGTTTATTAAGTGATTGTTCAGCTAGTATTACGTTGATGAAAATCTGTACTATTTGTAGATTACGTTTTCTGCCTCCTCAGATCCGCATGTAATATGCCCTAGTTGTTCTACGCCGTGTGCGTTTGATTCCACGTTGCAGTTATTGCATTAATTTATCTAATTCTGCATTTAATAAATATTATCTTTCGTCTTAAGGCGTGCTGCAGATAGGTCCACGCAAACAAAGGGCTAAATATGGCTGATACTCCAGACACTCCAGATACTCCATCTAGTCAGCTGCTGGCGATCGACCCCCACCGTCTGGTGTTCTGCTAGAGACCCCATCGGAAGAGGGATGTGGGGCGCAGTCCGTCACCTCTAAGAAGCGACCGGCCTCCCCAGACATCCCGTCATCGCGCTAAAGTCCAAGAGGGCCTCGGCGTCTTCTCAACGCCCGACCGTAGACCCCAGGGCAGCGTCGACATCCAAAGGAAAGTCTCGAAGACAGCGAGAACCTTCTCAGCCGAGATCGTTCCAGCCGAAGAAATGGGCCTCTACGATGACCAGCCGATTATCATCCCGACATACGGCACTAGAAGCGACCGGTGTCAGCGACAGTGACTTCAGCACAGATCTCCATGCAGCCTGATGCCTCTACACTGATGTCAGACGTTATTGCTGTGGACCCCATCATTAACACCGCAGAGAAGGCTCAGACGACATCGTCGCAGACCATCCCTGATGACCTGATGCAGCAAATTATGACGATGATGGAAGACCGATATAGACTGCAGAAGCAAGGACCGAGCCTTCGCGAAGGCTCCAACGTAGACAGCACCCCAGAGGCACCCCCCGTCAACGTAGCAGCCAGGACGATGTCACCTTCGCGAAGGAAGGCACGGACCACCTCCACGAAGGACCTAGATGTACAGCCTTCGCGAAGGCCTTCGCGAAGGCGGGATAGATCATCACCCTCGTCACTTTCATCCCAAGATGTGGACTCGGACCATCAGACATCACGAAAGCCTTCGCGAAGGTCTTATCGTAATTCCCCCGGACCGGACGCAGAGGAAGCTTCGCGAAGGCATTCGCGAAGGGCAGCTGAATCCAGATCATCATCATCTAGAAGGACATCGAGGGACTACACAAGAGCTTCGAGAAGCTATCAACGTTCTCCTCACAGGTCACCGAGAAGATCAACCCATAGACGTAGATCACCTAGACGATCTCCTCCTCGTTCATCACCACGTAGATCACCTTACAGGTCACCATACAGAGCTGCACAAGCATCGCCGGACGTAGAGACAGAAGCACGCAGTCCAGAGCAGCACCAACCTCTCATCAATGATGATGGTATAGAGGATGATGGAGGAGTTATTTTCTCCGATGCTGAGAGACCACGGTATTGGATGGTCAATAACCTAGATCTCTCATCACCATCTAAAAATGGCAATGTGGCGCAGACATATCTGATGAAAGAAGACGATGCAGATGCTATCACACTACCACCGATCGACCCGATTGCAGCAGTCCCACAGAATCTAGATGCAGCATTCCACAAAGCCACGAAAGTTCAGACACCACATCTACCAAACTTTCATGCCAAGAAGTTCTCCACGCATAACATGGACCCCTTCTTTAAAGCTCAAGACATCGATGAGAACTATAAGTTGATCAACGATGTCAAGTACAAAATTACAAGATTGATGATCGCAGTTAGTCCAGATAGAAACCATGACCGAGGCGTATGTTTTGGTTTAAATAGATCTAGAGCGATCAATGAGACTCTTATCACCAGATTTCGTGTCGACTTCTGAGGATGATAGAATGATTTATTCTGCCTTACTTATGCAAAAGAAAGACCAGCAGTTCCTAACAGATCATCTTACATCTATTTCAGCAGCACTGACCTTAGCTCGTCGTCAAGGCCTCCTCGCTTCCTGCAACTGGGGTGAGAACTTTACAGCCCCACTGTATACAGCCCTGTGGTCTTCAACATCCATCTTTAACGGAGAAATAGACAAAGTTTCCAAGGAAGTCACTAAGGATTCCAGAGAAGTCCTTATGATTAAATCGATGGACACACTAGCCAGCGTCATTGACAGACTTCACAAAGATACTCAGGAAGATCTAAATTCACGGGCCTACAGAGAGCAATTTGAGACAGGAAGATAGCCAGCTCTAGAGGAAAAGATTCTTTTAAATTAAGCCCATTCGGCAACTATAGAGGAGGATCAGGAAGAGGCAGGACACCCAGAGGTTCCACCGCAACTATAAAAGACAGGTTCGAAGACTTCTTCCACCCCAGCCGTTCCAGTACAACCATCTCAAGTGGGTGGGCGCCTCCAACTATACTGGGAAAACTGGGGAATGTTACAAGACCCTTATGTCTCCAACATTCTTCGTCCGCGGATTTTAAGTATCCCACTAAAGGCCAAGCCTCAGCTGACAGTCAACCCTCACAAGTTCGAGCTTACAGGCACAACAACTACCGAAGTTAAGAGGGCTGTTACATCACTCCTAATAAAGCAGGCCATAGAAGTACTAGACCAAGACAACATAGAACCAGGTTTCTACTCCCCAGTTTTCCTAGTTCCCAAGAAAACTCCAAGGAAAAATACAGACTCATCTACAACATGAGCTTTTTCAACAAGAACTATCTACGCAAACCTCCGGTTCCGCGATGATATTTTACCTCAGTTCACGGCCAGTTAATTAAGCCCCATGGACTACATGGGCAGTATCGATCTACAGGGCGCTTACCTGCACATCCCGATACACTCCAAAGCCAGGAAATACCTACGGTTTACTTTAGACGGGCAACATTACCAGTGGAAAGTGCTCCCATTCGGAATATCATCAGCCCCCTGGCTTTTCACGAGGATAACGAAACCGATTATCACCTATCTTCATCATCAAGGGCTACGCAGTGCGTTTTACCTCGACGACGGGATACAAGTAGATCAAGATCCACAGCATCTCAAACTACAGTTAAACTACATCATAAAGCTACTAACACAGCTAGGATGGTTAGTAAACTTACTCAAGTCGGACCTAGTACCGTCACAAGACCTACAGTTCCTAGGCATTCGATTTATCACAAATCTCAACCGTATCGTCGTACCAGAAGACCGTTGGATCAAGATCCAACAGACCATTCCACCAGCTCTACTCTCTCCGTTACCACTTCGACAATGGCAGAGCCTCCTAGGTCTCCTCACATCAGCCCAAGACATGACGGTCAGAGGCAGGTTACAGTTACGTCCCTTACAGGTCTTCATCAATGCACATCTCGACGATTTACAGCCATTCAGTCTACCGAAACATCTCAGACCTCATCTACTATGGT